GCATGGAAACTAAATGCCATCAGACCAAAACAGATAAAGTCACAATACAGTCACTCCTCCTCCTTCCCCAAAGGCTGTCGGACCTAACCATCTTGTGCGAGCTAGCTGAGCACCAACAGCCTCTGTCCTACATTGAGATGCCCTAGTTAGGCTTCAGCAGTTGGTTATGCTATTTGTGGCACACGGGGGCAGATGGTCACGAAGGGAAAACGGAGACACCTGAAAAGTAGCTCTGCCAGCAGAGCTCAGTAGGACTTCCTTTTTATTTCCTTTTCCTGATAGGTTTGAAAGCCAGAAAGATCCTAGTCATGGAATCTTTACATTTTTACAATGAGAAGCAAATGGTCAGTGACAGTCACAATTCACCAATCGCTGAAAAAAGAATTCACAAACAGATATAAAGGGAGGCAATGCTTGAACCTCCAGTCAACACACACACACACACACACACACACACACGCACGCGCGCATCCCTTTACTGCATATTAGTGAACACTGTCAACCTACACTTCCTGGTTTTGACTCAATAAAAAATGTCTCAAAACGCTGCAGTGCTCAAGTCACATGTGTCCTAGACTAGATAAAACATTCCAGGACTCTTAATCCCCTTGTTTTTCTGTTAATACCAGACAAGGTAGTGTGTTTCTTTCCCGCCGGAGCATAACTCCCTGGTCGTTAGGTCTCTAAAAATAATTTATTGCTTTAAAAGAATCGGAATGCGGTTAGCAATTTATGGATGAGCACAGATTGAAAGATAAACTAATAGAGGATGTAAATCCAGAACAGAAAGTAGAATCACATAACCAAAGAAGTATGCAGGCCAAGGGAATATGCCTATAGCTATAGAAGCTGGATCCTGCTAGTAAAATCCTAAAATCTCACAAACATACATCTAGGAAAATACTATTAACTAGGATATTATGTCCTTGTTTAAGGTGGTAATAAACATGAAATGCAGTCTCGTAATGGAATTTGGCATGATTTTAAACAACCCGATTCCTTTTTAAAAAACTAAAAACATTTTTTTTTTACTTCAAATATGATTTTTTCCCCATCACATGAATCAGAAACCAAGCCGTGTGTTTCAGAATTAATTCGTTAGTGACATAGCTGTCATTAAAGTTACAAATCCCATTTTCATGGGTCCCCTGTACATGTGCCCCACTGCTTTTCGGGGAGAATAAAAAGATTTCTAAATCTCTGCTGAACTACTGAAGTACATAACAGTGTTTTCTTCTAATACATAAAAGACAGCAGTGATCCTCTGTGAAAAGAACTGTAAGCAAAGAGTCACTGGCTGGCCTTTTTAGGTAAGCGGGACTTAAATTTAATATTAGTGAGCTTCAAAGGTTTAAACTTAGAAAATGCCAGACACTTTGAAAGAGAGGCTAACTCAGCCAGGGGTCACATGACAGCTGCCAAGTGAAAAATGTTCAAAAGGGAAGGGGGCAGGGCAGGTGAGCTGCTTACCCTTCTTTATTGCAACGCTTGATTTTCACTAAAGAAAAAAAAATTTTTTTTTTTAAGATTTCAGATTCGTATAACCCTGAAACGAGAGGCCCAAAATAAATAAATCGCCCTCAGGCTGACTGAGCACAGCTGACACCCTATCATGGCTTCCTTGCAAAAACAGAGAAAGAAAGCTGAATTTTAAAACCAAAATATCCCTACAGTGAATTTTAATGAAGACAGCCCCAACATCAGTTCAAATGAGTCCAGTCTTTTTCCGTCATTACGTTTACAAAACTAAAACACTTCATTATAATGCACACCGTTTTCTAGTCCTTGATTTATCTAAATTGCACTTATATTTAAAGGATACATCTTTTCTTAAACTGTTTTGAGTTGCCTTTTTTTTTTTAAAGCATTTTCAGAACTGACAACCTTCTGGAAAGTAAGTCAGATCAGTGATAATTAAATATTGCAAAATATAGATCAAGTTGATTTTGAAAAGGCATATTTCTTTAAAATCTTGCAAATGGCATTATTTAGTAGAAAAGTTGTGGCATTAATGTCTTCATGAAGTACACATTTTTTTAAGGCCTCTACAAATGTTGCATTAAGACTTTTTTAAAATGTATCCTTCCTTATGAATACAATGTTTACATTTAATTCAGAATGATGAAAAAAATTTATGATTAATGCTAACACTTTATTGACATGACATAGGAAAGTAATAATCCATAGCTAGATTTCAAGCTGAATTTATGACATCATTTTGATTGTGCACATTAGCGGCAATTACCTGCACCACTCATTCTGAGCCACTAGATGGTGTAAAAAATATATATATAAAACAGTATATAGATCTATCATTCTACCTTAATCTGGAAGCAAGTCCTTTTGAGCAATTTTTCACTCTCTTCTAAGGGTCTTGAGTTCTGAATTTACAGTAGTCTTAAACATTTCAAATTGCTGTCATTCACATTAAAATAAACTTATGATACTACTCTATGGTCTATTTTGGCCAAAGTTTTCATAAAAACTGGAAGACCAAGCCAATGAAACATTATTACAGTCTCCAAAAATTCCTCTCTGAAACTGTTCCCCCAAATCGGGAAGTCAGGGTCTTCACAAACTATACCGACTCCCAAAGCCATTTGAAAACCAATAGCCAAGATGTCCACTCATGGCTCCAAATCTGTCCAAATTCCATCAAGGGAGAGCTAAGTGTCCTTTATTTCCACCCTCACCAAGATTTACCTAGTTGATTCTACCAGCTCCGTGGTAGGATAAATAGGGGTATTAAATCATTTGGCCAATCATGAATAATGTGCCAGCTAACAATGCCTAGCCTCTTCTTTCCAAAACCAAAATGAGCTCCGGGAGGCCCCTCCAGAAATTATGCTGATCATGGAACTTCACGCCTTGTGAAGGGCTGATAGACAAATTATATTTGGTAAGCACACGCCCAAATAACAGCATTTAGAAATTTTAGATGGCAGTATACTCTTCCTTTGAGGCAGACCACTAACCTTAGCTCTATGATCAGGCTTCACACATAAAAGTACAATCTCCACAAAACAGGTTTGGGAGAACAGAAATTGCCTTCTCTGGGATCCCAGAGGTGTGACATACACCTATGATGGTACCTCTACTTTCATAATAACATAAAATAATTTTCTGAGGCGATGGCAACAGCCTGCCCTGGAGGTCGGAGGTCGGTACTCTGAGGTTTTCAGCAACAAAGACAGCATGATTCATAAAGAAGGCTTTAAGAACACACCCACGTGGGTTTTAGAAGTTTCACATTTTACCAGAATAATATAACTACATGCTGCTTATCCCTATAATTTGGAATTCCAAGTAGAAGCCAATGAACCTTTTATTTGATACACAATTGCAGCCCAACTGGCAAAAGAAACTGCAAGCTAAGTACATTGGGGGAATAATTCCAAGAGACTTTCTTGAACTGAAATGAATCACTTCGGTTTCTATATTAAGTAATTAACTCAAACAAAGTGTTATCTTAATTCAGGACAGTGAAATGCTCAATAACCCAATAATGCTTCATCCAAGAGTTGGCTCTCTACAGCTTCCAAAAACTAAACCTGTCTTTCTTTAAAGACAGACAAACAAACAAACAAACAAACATACTAAGGAGCAGAGGACAGAGAAAAATGAGAAGTCTTAGCTCTGGGTACCTCAACTAGCAATGATCATGGCTGGCTATATTTACTTGTTAACTATTTTCTCCCAACAATCTACAAGTGCTCTATAGTATTCCTTTTGAATTCCTGACGCTTGGCACAGGCCCTCGCACATTGTAGATACTTTATGACAGTTTCAAATTACACACGAGGGAGGAAAAAAGGGAGGAAGATACAAGCACAAGAGAAAAGTAGACAGCCTTGAGCTGGGAGTCAAGGTGCCTGGTTACGTATTGGCTCTGGCCCGTTCTCAACCGAAGTTTATCTGCAAAACCACGAAGAGATGGCTGAACATCATGCAGATTCCTCATTCAACTGTTCTGTGATTTCCTAGGTTATGATTTCATCCACCAGTCATCTTTTGTTACATTCAATAAATGACCTTATTTCCAAATTCTCTTCTGCATCTAGCAAGTCAGACTATCTTTCTGAAAAGTACAAGATATTTCTCTAATCAAGGAACCACAATAAACTCCTAGACTTATAATATATAGAACATCTCCCTACTTAAATTTAACTAGTTTTCATACATCATTTGTTTCTAAAATAGCTTCATAAAGTAGACTGAGGGAGTTTTTTTAATCCTTATATTACAGTAGGGAAAGTTACATATGAAAACTAAGGCAGCTCACACACGTCATCGAAATAAGAAACGTGACTGTTAGATCTAAGGACAGAAAGATTTTGAATCATCCGGTATCTTAAGACACTGGTTATGTATATATATGGTTATGTGTGTGTGTATATATATATATATATATATATATATATATATATATATGAGAGAGAGGTGAGTTCATAGCAACAGACTCTGCCATTATGTTTACAAATACAACTATGTTAAATTGTAAAAAAAAAAAAACCTACCTAAACCTTTCTGATCAGAGAAAACACTGCTTTTAAATTGTCGGAACACCAATGTATTTACATAAAGATGAAAACCTTCTACCATAAACAGTGTTTCCAGTAGTGAATGGCAGACGAAGTCAGAATAAGCACACAGAAGAATAAAAAGGAAGGGGAAAGAAAAACATAATAAATAACCCGATACCTCACAATGTTAACTTTCACATAAGTATATTGTTTCTGGAGAAGGCAGGGTGTGGATGCGAGCCAGAGGCTGAAGTGATAGGTAAACATACTGTTAAGTTGAATCCTGTTATCTGATTGTGTTTAAAATTTGATTATATTTCACTTGACAAAATAATTAATTATTGTGAACTCCCAATTGTTAACCAGGACCTAGAGGAATTCCAATTGGCATTTCTCCCCGGTGTTGTAAACCCAGATGCAGAAAAGACCTAGCTTTGTATTCACCCTTTATGGTTGTCATCTGGGGTGTCTCCTTACCTTGCTAAGAATGTAAATCACATCACCACGTTTAAATGACAATTCATCAGAAAGAGCTCCTGTGCAGTCCCACAAACCCTGGTAAAAATTAGCATAATCGGTGTTTTTATCTCCTAGGAAGATGAGAGAGAAAACATGAGTTAGAGCTTTCGTGTAATGGGTCCTTACTTAAACAGGAGCTGATAGAAATTAAAGGGCCGCCTCTAACCACCAAAACAATCTAAAAAACTTCCATCCTGATTCAAAGAACCTTTGATTATCTTTACACACAAATCCGACGTCTTCTAATTATATAATTAAGGACCTTTTTGAAAAAAAGGTCTCATTTTGAACACTTCTTTTCTTCCTCCCCCTTTCTTATTTCATCCAAAGCCTATAAATGCAATGTGTTCTCATCAGACCAGCACCTAAAAGTTCTTTGCCACTTTTTTTTATGATGGACCTAAACCCACTTGCAACATGTTGTGAAGGTGAATCAGCCACAACGCATGATGACCGAGTATCTGTGACAGGTGACACACTGTGAAATAACCACCTTACAGAATTTCTAAAAATTACACACACAGAGAGGGAGATAGAGAGAGAGAGAGAGAGATGGAGGGAGGGAGGGAAAGAAAATTTGGGACCCTTCATAAACAATAATAAAGACTAATAAAGGAGCCGATAGTCCACAGAAATAACCCAAGCTAGGTGACTTTTTTTTTTTTTTTAATTCTAAAACCTAAAGCTGGTTAGAGGAAGAGGAAAAAGCGGAAATAACAGAGAGGGTAATTCCAGCTCTTATCTTTGGGGACTTTTGTACCGAAAGCCTCTCGAAGCTATTTCTAAAATATTTTAGCGACTTTGAAATCGCCAGAGCTGAAGCTGCATTTTTCAAGATTTCTGTCAGCCCTCGTTTAGGACATTACGCTCTGAATAAACATGCAACATACACTGAAGTTATCAGCTCATCCTTCTAGCGGCATAAGCACAATGGATGTGATGTGCTCAAACTGCCATACAGACCATTAACTGATTGATTATTTAGCGCTCTCCGCTCTGTAATACCACAATAAACCGGGTAATAAATGCTTTGTCACTTATACAACGTGGGTCTCTTGAAACACAGCACAGAGTTAAATACACTGGGTGCTTTTGTTACACAGAGAACGGTTTCCTGTTTTTAATTTCATGATAATTGAGTTTTGATGAGTTAACGCAAAAAGAATGCAAGTGATATCAATAAGATGTCCGTGTATTCACTAACCAGGCAGAACGTATACGTGTTGACAGCTTCCATCATTGGAATGTCAGCTCTGAATTCTGAGGGGATAACTGGGGGACGCGTGCTGCGTCAGGCTGTCATCCTAGTTTTGTTACATGGCTCTCAAACAGCAGGCTCCTTGGCAATTCCGACACAACTCCTCACGTGAGCACGTCTTCTGGGTACTCGGCTCCTGGCCCGTAGTTTGTGGTTTACACAAAGTGCTGAGTTTGTTAGAAGTCTTTACAATTCTAATATCCGGAACATTTTTTAGAGCCAAGAAGAAAATCTGAGTAGCGTGGAGTGTGATGATTTAGAAAGATGATACTTTTCAACTCTGCTTTACGAAAATAAACAGTGGCTAGAATACGCAACCTCACAAAATCCTATTCCACTTTTTTCTCCTGTTGTCTAAAAATTCCAAGGTGGGGGAGGGAGGGAGAGAAAATGGGAGGAGGCGTGAAAGGAAGGAGGGAGGGAGGGAGGGGAACCGAGAGAGACAGACACCTTACTGACCTCTCCACGCCAGCATCTGAGCACTCATCACTGATACCAGCAGGGTATACAAGCCCAGGGACCCAACCAAGAACTAACACCGCTTGTGGCCACCCTTCATGACACTCCCCCCAACTCCAAAGCATGTATTAAGTGAATTCCATAAATGGACACTAGAGGGCACTCCGGCTGGACAGATCACTCCGAACATTGTCAATTTTTTCTTTTAGAAAGAATTACTTAATAATAAAGTGACTGATTTCCTTTAAAAACCACTTATTTAGACAAATAGAGATTTAGAAGTTGAGACATTCTCGTCCGATTAAATCAACTGCTAAATGGGTCAAATGTTGCGCCCCAAGCAGTCCGTCAGTGTCAGTGGAAAAGTCAAGGAATTAGAGCAAAGAGAGGATGACATCATTTCACATGCAAGGCCCTCCCCCACAGTCACTGGCCGGGAGGTAAAAGGATGTAAATAGCTGGTTTCCCCGGAGCCGCTGAGGCTCCTGTGTGTTCCCCATGCTGCTCACCCTGAGGGTTGATCCAAAAAGGTTAAAGAAACAAAACTTGGGCTAAAACTAGAGAAGTTCTGGCCAAGCTAGGGCGTCCCAGTGCGTCCCCAGCTGCCCAGCCTACTGCCCGCTCCTCCTTTCACAGATTCTCACACTACGGTCTTTCATGCAATAGATTTTCAAGAGGTGGGAGGGAGAAAGAAGGAAAAGAAAAGTATATGGTGATTTCTAACACATAATCCGTATCACTTTGGGGTCTCTCTTCCCCTCGATGCGCTTGGAGAAACCCCCATTAACACTAATGGGAGTTACAGGAGCGCACGAGGGGAAGGGAGACCCCCACCGTGTGCAAGATGCATCTCTCCCTAGATGTGCATCAGGAGCATTTCATTAAATCTCACTGCTGTAAAGAGGCAACGGAGCTAGCGACCTGGCAACACTGGGGGAAAGATGCATTTTCTACCATTGCTTTCCGATCATCCTGATGATGATGTTACCCAAAGACCAACCTCATTTCTGTGTCCCATATGTGAGCTCTGTTAAAGAATAATAAGTTGTTTATGCCACACGGCTATCCGCACATACAATTTACTATTCTATCTAGTTCCGAATGCAATGCTAGGTATAAAGCAGAAGAACCACTCCAGCTAAGGAGGAGACCTGGCAATATTTATTTATTAGCCTTAGTCGCCTCGGGAAAGTAATGTTAAAATTCTTGGTATGAAAATTTTAGATATAAAAATTAGCAACTGTCTTATTCCTTCGAGAACAGCAAGCTTCTCTGGTTTACTTTTCACGGTTTTAAGTTTTGAAATTTTAAGTGTGGCTAACCATCCTTAAAAAATTAGGCACAGGTATAGCCTCTGAGGCACAGTGAGCTCACAACAGTTAGCACTGCTCACCTATACACTGAAAAATAATCCGTGCAAAATACGTTTTTAAAAAACAAAACTGTAGGGCGCCTGGGTGGCTCAGTCGGTTGAAGGGTCCGACTTCAGCTCAGGTCATAATCTCACGGCTTGTGGGTTCCAGCCCCACATCTGGCTCTGTGCTGACAGCTCGGAGCCTGGAGCCTGCTTTGGATTCTGTGTCTCCCTCTCTCTCTCTCTGCACCTTCCTGCTCATGCTCTGCCTCTCAAAAAATGAATAAATGTTAAAAATTTTAAAAATTAAAAAACGTAATACCACAGATTAAGTCCACATTCTGAATACAAATAAGTCTCTCTAGTTGTTATCACTACATGGATTAATCCACCCACATCATGATCTATGTTTCCAAAATTACAAAAAACCTCACATCATCATTATGTTTCTTGTCCTGAGAGGCATGAATGGTTAAAACAGAAGGTAAAGAAAGAAAAAACATTCTAAATTAGCCAGTCTGTGAAGGATTTAAACAATATACTCTTTCCTGCTTTTTCAAAAGCAGATCACTGGGCAATAACTGACTTGTCAGAAAAAATAGGCTAACCGTTGGAGATACTTTTAGAAAAACAAAAAAGACTTTAAAACTATGATGACAATGGCTGAAACATACAATAATTAAGATAATGAAGAATCTCTTCTTGAGTAGTCTCACTGGTTTAAAAACTGTTTCAGAAAGGTAAGCACATTTTACAGTGTTCAAAAAAATCAGGGGCACCTGGGTGACTCAGTCCGTTAAGCCTCCGACTTCGGCTCAGGTCCTGATCTCGCCGTTGGTGAGGTCAAGCCCCACACTGGGTTCTGTGCTGACAGCTCCGAGTCAGAAGCCTGCTTCAGATTCTGTGCCTCCCTCTCTCTCTGCCCCTCCTCTGCTCATGCTCTGTCTCCCTCTCTCTCTCTCTCAGAAATAAACATTAAGCATTTTTGAAAAATGTCAAATGCAATCTTTATTTTGTCTATATACATGAAATAAACACGCAAAATGTGCAAGTTCGAACATAAAAGAAATGATAACACCTACAGGATTACGTTTTTGTTTACGTATTTTGCATTACTTTGAAATTTTTTTTTTTAAGTAAAATCGGTCAATGTGAAAAATATATAACATTCTTGAGTAAGGTTAGAAGTTCACGTCATGTGATGCTTGGCAAGATAGTAATACCCTTGTCAACTCACTGCCCTGCACAGCAAACAAACTTCTAGTGTTATAGCTTTGACAGCCCAGAGAGAGCAAAGGTCACCGCTATGCAAAAGCATTAAAACTGTTGCTTGAAAAGAATTTCATGTCACTAAAGATAAGAATTATTTCACCGCGCTTTGCAGTGATTGCATGGAGAGCTAGATCGACTTATTGCATTCCTTTGAAGAAGAACTTGACTTTTTTCTTCCTTCCCTCAAAGGCAAACATTTGGGAGAGAGAGTTACTTTAAAAGCATTTTTGAAAAATGCAACTGCTTTCAATCCAGAATACTTCATTTTGTGGAAGGAACACCTACATGGGTCTACTTCTACACCTGCGCTGAAATTAAAAAACAAAACAAAACAGAAGCTTTGTGCTTTTAGCCGGAGCTTTGTGATACACACTAAAATGCATATACTTAAATGACTACTGAGGGTCCTCCTCAAGGTTTCACTCAGTCTTAGGATCTCACGGGACCAGGGTGCTAATGTCTAATGACGTTGTCCTCACTTCCTTTCTGAAAAAAAAAAAAAGCAAACCAGGACCTTCTGCAGCAGCTGCTCCTGCTTTCCTGTCCAGGTCCGGAAGTCAGGCCTCTGTTTCCTTTCCGCATGTCGCGGTAGGAAGGACTCGGGAAAGCTACTTCCTGAACACACGCTTCCTGTCCACCCTGCCTCTGACAGCTGGGAAGAGTGATGTCTGAACATATCGGAGAAGGGAAGGTGACCCTCAACCATGGCCCCGTGCAGGGCACGGGATGATGCGGCAGGCCTCGGCCAGCTGACATGGCGGCTACGAAGAGGTGTAAAAGTCCTGATAAGAAGGCATTCCCTCTCTTCTTTCCGTGTACAATAATTGCTGGTTTATCAAAGCTGACCTCATGCTTGCACTTCAGATATGGTTTATCGCCTGCTGTTTGGAAATAACAACCACAAAAAAAAAAAAAAAAAGGTCGCCCATATCATGTGATCTTGTACATGGCATGTGTGGCTATTTTTCCTGGCTCAGTCATAATTAGTACTTGGGGCCATGTGCCAAGTGGAAATGGATAAGGGGAATATCCTTCCTAGCCTTCTAGGCCATCAGTGTCCTTTTCCAATTTTTAAACCGCTGTCACCGGACTCTGGCATTTCTTACCCAATTCATTTGCTTTCTGTGTTAATCATATGCAATGAAGATATGCATGGCCAACATTTAAACAGGCTGCAGATCAATTAGCGGTCTTAAGTTTATCTGATTTTTATCAAAGAAGACAGAGCTGTGGGTCGATTGTCAGAGCCTGTGTCAAGTTGACCTTTTCAGAGATGTCTACATTGACAGTCCCCTGGGCAACTTGTTGTCCCCTGTTAGTCTCTGAATGGCAGAAGTCTGTTCTGCTCAAGCACAAAGTATACACAGATGTCTATATTACATTCTTATAGGTTTGACAGCGACTGCATGTTGTATCTATAAACTGTCCTTTAGCAGTGACACTTCCTCAATGATGATAAGCTAATTTATGCAACTAAATCTCCTTTGTGCAGAAATGAAAGCTAATTGAGTCATTACAAAGTAATTCAGGAAGGAATACCTTGTATAAATTGGCTTACTTTATAAATCCTTCTCAAGTGGTTTTCATGCATCCTAAATGGGACTAAGCAGCTTATCCGCCATAAGATATCCAGATCGAAGCCACCAACTTCGGGGGGGGGGGGGGGGGGGGGGGTGTGTGTGTAAACATCTTTAGAGCAGCAAGAAAGTGACTTAAGGGAAAGGGAACAAAAGCAAAAGGAGTTTCCCAGGAAGCTTCGTGATTCAGTACCTGTGGTGGGGAGAGCACTGTCCTGACTCATCTTCCTTTGGTCCTCCCCATGTGCGGGAGCACTGTCCTCTTCTTCCTCTGTAAACAAACAACAGAAATGGTACGCTGAAGGGTTTCCTCAGAAACAACAGGACACTACTCCACCCGTTTTACGAGCAAAACTGAAAGTTTACGACACATAAATATTCCGCTCAACACTCACATTCCTTTGTCAATCATTTAAAGCTGAACAAACAAACCTCTAGCTATTTCCACATAGCGACCTTACCAGTTGGCTTGATAACACTTAGGATACGTACTGATGCCTCACATATTTCGTTGTGCACACTTACAGAAAATCATCTGGAACACTCTTAGATCCAGGCCAGCCCTGAAATCCAATAAAGTAACATCCAGCACTGTATGGACAGACCATATTATACCGAGGCAGGATAAAACCATGGTCCATAAAACATCAGTAGAGGAGAGGGAAAATGTGTGATAAAAGACACAGTTAACCTAAGAGTCATTTATTGAGCATCAGATACTTCATGCTTTCTCCCTTGATCTTCACGGGAGAATACCAGAAAGATCTTCACCCTTCAGGACAAATCCCCCCAATTATACTGTGGATCTACTATGTGTCATATACCATAGCAGACATTAAGATTTCACAGGTCAATAGTTTTAAAATCTCATTTTACAGAGGAGTAAACTGAGGCTTGAAAAGGTAAAGAACCTTCCACTTTTTTACTATTCTAACTCAGGCCTGTGATCATAATGTCCATGTGCTTTATCCTGCATATATTCAGGGCCTGACCTCTGTTATTCCCACACTTTCCTATCACATTCATTCCTCCCGGGACAGGGAGAAATAGAAGAAGACTAAATGAGAAGAGTTGTAAACAGAGTCCAATGACTTTAATTATTTTACATTAAAGAAACATTTATTATATGACTACTTTCCTCACCTTAGGATTTATATACACTTCAGAAATATTTAAGGCAGGACAGAGGAACAAAATGGCATGCCCAAGAAAAACCGTGTTCAAAAAGAATCATAATTTCAGGAAAAACAAAACCTTTAAAGGAAAATATGCAAAATACGTAAACATAGCCATGAAGGCTCTTAAATAATCCAACCAATAAATCTTCATTGGGTATTAACTACCTGTAAGAGACAGCTTCTACCAGGGAGGCAAAGAGAAGAAGGAGGAAGCTTCTGCCCTCAGGAAGCCAGAGCCTACGAGGCACAGAAGACAGTAGTCTCTAAAGGAAAATGGGATGAGGGACATAAAACCTGACATGCAAGACACGAGGTGCTGATGAACGCAGACTAGAAACCACCCAAGTGGGGAACACCGCGAAGGCTCTGAGGGCTGGAGAAAATCTGAACAGAGAGAGATGGGGAGGAAGAAATTTCTAGGCAGAGGGAGAATCATAAGCAAAACAACAAAGCACAGTAGTATCCATTTGGCTAAAGAATGCAGTACTCAAAGGGGAAGAACAGGATGAGAGATAATGCTAGTAGTTTGGGCCAGCTGTTGAAGGGTTATGAACATTGGCTATGGAGTTTAGGCCTTGATTTGGTAGGCAGTAAGAGCCCCCCGAGGATTTCTGAGCAGAGAAAGGGCAGGACTAACTCTATGCTTGTGGAATGGTCATCGGATCCCATTGTCCCAGAGAGCCTGAGGGAGGGCATGGGGAGACAGACCACTCGGAGTCTGGCTAAAGGGGAAGGAAGTCCTAACCGAAGGACAGAGGAAACGCAAGGAGCCGGTTATGAGAGGAAAAGGAACTCGAGTCGATAAGCTTTGTGCCTGCCTGGATGTGGAGGGCTAAGGGAAGAAGAGCAACCAAGGATGACTGGAGTTTTGAGCTTAGTTGACAGAGAAATGGGAACAGAATACCTAAGATGAGCTATTTTGCCGAAGGAACACGGGAGCCGTGTGAGAGATTTAGCGTGGCAGTGGGGCAACCCAGAGGAAATGTCCAGAGACAACTGGAAAGCTTGAAAAGTCTGCATCTACAGGAGCATAGTTGCAAAGTTTAGAAGGCTCATGCAAACTTGAAAGTGGTGACTCATAAAATGCACCATTTAACTCACGCTTGAGGGTTACTGTACTTCTAAAACAAACATACAACTGTTTTGAATTTGTGTAACTCAATTCAAACAAAATAAGGAAAGCCCCCAAAAAAGGAACAGCTGGAACTATTTGGCACTTTATACGCATTAAGTTGACCCCAATGTTGGCAATTTAATAATATGGCTCAGTCAAGTAGGAATTAATACACGGAAGACCTAATAAAAAATCGAATGCCAAATCCTGTCTCTTTTCTCTTCAACAACAGTTACCTTACTTATGCCAAACCTCAAGGCCTAGTGATTGTAAATGGTTTATTAGGGTGTTTTCATACAAGTTTTAAAGGTTAGAGACATTTACAGTCATTTGGTCTAACCAACTTATTTTACAGATGGTTAATTATTTTCAAAGGAGAAGGAGAAAACTTTCCTTAGTTGTCATACTTTCTCTTTCCCCAGCACTCCTTCTCCTCCAAGCTGGTCACAAATCCAACTGCTGAGTAAATTCAAAATTCGTGAATGGCACCTGCCCTCAAGTCGGAAGCCTTGAGCACAATAAAAGAGGAAGCACGATTTCTGGCTCTTAAGAAGACATCGTGGGAGGGGTGCCTGGGTGGCTCAGTCGGTTGAGCATCCAACTTCGACTCAAGTCATGATCTCGCTCGAGCCCCACGTTGGGCTCTATGCTGACGGCTCAGAGCCTGGAACCTGCCTCAGGTTCTGTGTCTCCTTCTCTCTGCCCCTCCCCTGCTCACGCTCTGTCTCTTTCTCTCAAAATAAATATATATTAAAAAAATTTTTAAGAAGACATTATGGGATACAGACTCATCACCCAAAGTTAGTGTCAAGATATCACAAAAACTAATTACAGTAATTAAGTGGAAAACTCTGCTCTTGGAAAAGTATACAATGAACTTAGAATAATTTATTACTGTAAATGTATTCTTATTTTATTAAAATTTACATGCCTATAATGTACACAATGTATTCTTAAATTATCAGAATTACATTAAAATATTTACTTAAGTATCAATATTTACTGGGAAGTATCCAAATTCCATGTGAGATGATGAACAAGTAGTATTTTAGAGGAGGAAACACTTATCAAAAAAAAAACTTCCTTTCTCCATTTTAAATGTAGTAATGATATTTTTAGGTCAAAGCTTCTGCATTTCATACATCAGTTTTTCTTAATGATATTCAGACAGCTCATTTTATCTTGGGCTAACAATACAAACAGCTTCCATACAAAAGAAAATGAAATCAAATTTGGTGTGTGTGTGTGTTTTAATCTTAGGGAGCAAAACTCAGACTGAATCCTGAACAGAATCTGGTACAAAGGAGATGTTCAATAAACATGGAGTGGAGAGATTCAAAATCATGAAAATAAATCCTACTATGTTCATTTATTAACAGAGAAAAATTCTCCACACCACTCAAAAACTATACAAGGACAAATGAAAATTCTAGGCAATAATCACCTCAATAGATTAGAAATATACACACATGTTGTTTTATTTAGGTTTATTATTAAACATATTTTATTTTGGTGTTGAGTCACAGTGTCATTATACAATACTAATTAATACCTCAAAGAGTCAATGTTTGGGGTTAATATATTCCATTCAACATTTTAATAACAGTAAACAAAAACAGCTCAGCTATGCGGTAAAATCCATCAAACCACACAGATGGTTATAAGGTTTTCATTATGTGGTTTCCATAGCAATCATATTGCAAATCTGGAAGCTTCTTGCAAATAAGCAGCTTGTATTTACATGCCTCTCAGCTGCAGCACAAAACTCTGCAACATGTGACGCTATTATTCCAATCACACATTGTTAGCAGGACCATCAGAAGATTTTGTTGATCAGAAAAGATGAAAATAACAGTAAACTCACTGCAGAAGATAATTCAAACACAGTCATACACTCACTAAACTAATCGGTGAGTATTAGATGTGTTCTGGTAGTCATTGGAAGGTTTTAACATTATACCCAGTCAAAAATATGGAAGTTCTAGGGCACCTGGGTGAATTAGTTGGTTAGGTGTCCAACTTAGGCTCAGGTCACGATCTCACTGTTCCCAAGTTCAAGCCCCGCATCAAGCTCCATGCTGATAGCTCGGAGCCTGGAGCCTGTTTCAGATTCTGTAGCTCCCTCTCTGTATCTGCCCCACCCCTGTTCATGTTCTGTCTCTCTTGTGAAAATGAATAAACATTTATATATATATATGGAAGTTCCAGTAGCAATCAGAACCCAAAAGCCTGAACTCCATTCTCTCCATATCTCCTTTTCGGCAGATACTGAGTCTTCCTTCTGAGTTGAGCAGAGAAAGGAAGAAGAGCAGAGAACAGTCTTCCCAAATCTTTTTAGGATGACTACAATTTGCTTATGTGGGACAAGTCAAGACCTTTTTTTGTCCCCGGCTAGATTAATCCATTTAATTTACAAATTGATCCAGTTCCATAACAGATGGATTATTACCCCCACTAAGAATCACAAATCTGTCTAGCTATGCAGTTTTTACAAATTGGCTATTTCTTCCTTACTAATGTTCTTTGTTTTAAGGACAAAATAACCAAAAGAAAAATGCGATGAGCAAATGATATGTACAGCTGACATCGCTTGAAAAAGGTTGAGAACGATTTGTTAGCACCGAAACAGCGTATGTGCTGTTCACATCAGGGCTGAAAACAGATCTTATCACATCTTCCAGGGAGAAGAGGACAACATAAGAAAACCTTCTACTCACACACAATGATTACCTTTCTCACTAAGTACTTTCAGAAAATGGCTCTGCTAAACTACAATGTATGTTAAAGACCTTAAAACACAGAATCAAAAGTGATGCTCTGAAATAAAGATTGGGTGTAGATCTCTACTGTCCTGGCTTCATTTGATTACAAGACTATATATTCGTCTCGAGAAGTTAATATTTATTGCTTGGATGTTCATTCTGTATGCATTTAAATCCTTTATGTGACTAAAGCCTCATACAGTTTTATAAGGTAATA